GGTACTACAGATACTACACCTAATACAGGTACTACACCTACTACAGACATTACGGGTATTATTCGTGCACTACACATACATGCTATATATGCTATATATCATTAGAGTACTATAGCCAGGACATTTGGTGGCCCCATACATGACGTACCTACCGGAAGTTGAAAGAAACCGCTGGTTCTTACCAAGAAGAACGTGGGCGCTGGGTACGAGATTGACATTTTAAAGCACAGGCAGCCCAAGCAATGCATAGGTAGGGGAGGAAAAAAATGAGAAAAAACGGCTAAAGACAGCTAAGAACTAACCAAGAAGAAGTTAAAAAGCATTAAGGACAACAAAGGATCAAAGTAATTTCAATTTTTTAATTTTCAAATTTTACGATTTTTGCAGCATGAGACGGCACAGATGCATTGCTTGGGCTGCCTGTGTTTAAAGCGGAAAGCCGGCCTTTTGCAACAAACAGTCACTTGCTGATATGTGACTTTGATAATGAATCAATTCAGCTCAAGGTCCCTTGGGAAAGGCTCTGCTGAATGGCAAACAAACTTTAAACTGATTTGTATCTTGAAAAGGTTTTGGATACGGCATTAGTACCTAGAGGGGGGGGGGGGGGGTACTCCCCTATATTTGCTATAAGGGAACTTGCCACCAAACAGGGTATGGTTTTCAGCAATTTTACTCTGGAACAGGGTATATAAAATTGCGCTCGCTCTGGGACAGGGTATATGAAATCGTGCTCTCTCCTTTCTGGAACAGGATATCTATTTTCACAATACAGGAACTGGGTATGGTATTCAGCGATCTCACTCTGGAACAGGGTATGAATTTCAGCGATTTTACTCTGGGACAGGGTCAATGTTCAGAGGGCTCAGTGGCACATCCCTACCCTAAACGGACAAGAGTACCCCCCGGGCATTATTAGTACAGCAAAAAATCTTTAAATAAAGTTTTTTTGCCATCCACTAACAATAACGTGTCAATCTATTGCAAAAGGCCTATCGTTAAAATGGACCAATATTTAATAATCATGCCTTTTTCTTATAATAATAAATTTATTGGTATTATATAATATTGTTAAATACACTCATCAAATACACATACTTTACTGATTGTAAAACAAATTTTGATTTCCAACTGACTGCAAAATATCGAGCAGTAGAACCAGAGAATATAAGTTTCTTTTATTTTGTAAAAATTATTCACAAATAAGGATATCAACTAATTAACTCATGTTGTCTTCTTAGACTGCATACATGTGTTATCATACTCCCTGACCAAAGTCCAGTTTAATTTGTAGTCTGAACATTTTAGATCTGATTTATTCACATTAATTTTACCATGGTCACAGATTGCCCTGACAATCGACTGCATATTGTTTAAAAATATTCATCTTGTTTGGGATCCCTGTGGTAAATATGCTTTCAGGACTTTAATAATGCTATCTTGATATTTAGGATGAAGATGCTCCTTTGCTACCTGTAAGAAAAAGGTCTTAGAATCAATGATTAGGGTTGGCTTCGTTAATGGTCAATTTCTCAATTTTAGGGGAGGGAAGAGAAGGGAAAGGAAAAGGGAAGCTGACTGGGGGCTTTTGTGGATGAATTTGATTCTTTTTATTTAATATATATATTTTCACATTTCTTTATTGCTTATGAAGAAAAATTTACCTCTTGTACTTCAAAACCTTCATTTTTCATTGTTCTGACAAAAGCGGACTCTCCTCCTCGGTTTCTTCCCATGGACACAAACACCAACGACTTCTGGTGAGTTAATCTTGGGATGCTTTTCGCAAGTTTTATAGAATCCTCTTCTGAATAGAGCACTTCAGCAGCAACTACCAGATCAAATACGCCGTTCTTGGTTAAATGGTCCACCCCATTCCCCCAGGAATACTCTTCTGCTTTTATCCTTGAAGCCATGTCCTTTGCAATATTAAGTTCTATATTTTTATTTAGAGTAGGAATACAGCATTGTTGGTCTGTGATAACAGTTCGTTTAGCACCTAATAAACACAGATAAATCCCTACTAATCCGCAACCCGCACCAAGTTCCAGTACTCGGTAGTTTTTAAAATCTTCTTGAGGAAAAATCATTTGATTGTCAAACATTTTCGCCAGTGCAATGCTACCATCCCAGACAGTTGTCCCAAGGGCAGCATAACTTTGTTCGAGTTTGATTTTTCGAGTACTCTTATTTTCACTTTTCTGCTTCCCATTATAGTACTCTGCGTCTTGTTCTTCTTGTTCTTCTTCCCGGTGTACTTGCTTTTGTGTCGCTAATTCGATGTCAATCTCAAAAGGTTTTTGAAATCGGGCTTTTTCAGGCTTGTATTCTTGTCTCACCCACATGGCTAGATTCGCATATGATAAAGAATTCTTCCTTTATAGGTTTAAAACATGGTAAATATAAATTTCTCAAATTGACTGTCCGTCGGCCATATTGAACGTGAGTCTTGAGAAAACTGGACACTAGTATGATAATGCCCATGACTTCAAACGAGACACCACTGACCCATTACTTGACTTTTTCATTTCTTCAAAAAAAAATCCTAACTACCGCACTTCAAAAAGCTACAATTATGACCTTATTTTAAGCATTATCTAGCTTTGTTAATCTAAGTGATCCTTTCTGGATCCTCTTTCCATTTGTCCAACATGGATTCTTTGGGTTTTACGCCACAAAAAGAGATAATATACAACTCTTTGCTTCCCTATAGCGATCAACTTGATGATCAGTCCAACAAGTTTTTAGCGGAAATCAAGTATAATTTGGGTCGAGCTGTAGTTTTTCGTGAATCAAGTCCTGGAGCACTTTATTGGAGTAATCAGCTCTCTAGGTAAGTGATATTTCTAGCATCCATAAAGGCTTTTAGAGTCTACTTTGAGTTTCGCGCGACATAGTTTAAAGCCATGAAATTTCACACGTGAAAACTGCTGGGTTTCAGAGAGTGTTTGCCTTAGCTACTTGTAAACTGTAATACCAATATATATATTCGTTTTGTGTCACCTGTTTTTCCCTATGAACTTATGATGATTTTAGAATTGTTTTATGCGACATTGACCGGCAAAAAGTCTTTTTTTAAATTTAAGTGTTCGCGATATGCTTATAGCGAAAAAATTGTTGTGTAACGATGACTGTGCATCCTGAATCCGTTGTAACGTGAATTATAAAACTGCCACTTTTGATTCGTTCGATTAAAATATGTCGATAAGATATTCTTTGTTTGTTAATCAAGTTCAACAATCAAACCCTATAGATTTTAAATAATTATATTTTCGAAAATCAGCTTTGGTAATATTTATAATATAATGAACTAAATATAATATTGTTTTTTATAATAATTGGATGGATCTATGWTGGGAAATGGAATTAAAGGATGAAGGGAAGAACAAAAAAATGGGGCTAAAAATTCTTTAGATTCTTACTAATATTAAATCTCATTATTCAAAAGAATGCATTTATGGAGCTGATTTATAATCTCGCTGTAGAACAGAACTTATATGAATTTATTGATCTTAGATAGGTGATGTTAGTTACCCAAAACAGGGTTTTCCATACCAGCATGAGTAAGCGGCAAAATGCAAAGAATAGGCAGGGGCTGCGAACAAATCTTTCTCACATTTTCCCTAAATTTTGGTAAACTTTAATCAAAATAGAAGGCAATGTCAAGTAAAATATCTTGTGAGATTTGCTGGCTGCCTGCTTCTATTGAAAACCCTGCTACTGTAAATTAGTAAAAATATGATAAAGTAATAGTCATTCATTAGAGACTTGATGCATTCAAGTAGATATAGTATGACCCCTCAGTTTTTGTGTCATATGTGAATGGAGTTGCTGGTTGGCGCTCCTTTGCTCTGAGGGTTCTTTCGAGGTTCTACGGTTTTCCTTCCTTAAGAAAAAAATCAACTTCTAAATTCCAATTTGATCTGGCTTCATGAAGCTTAAAATATTATGAGCCACTGGCTAAGGAGACTGATCACTTGCTACTGTCTTGCAGGTTTGACTTAAAATAAGTGAAATTCCCAAGGAGTATAGGTAATAGGTGGGGTCTAAGATTGATATTGAAATGTTCTTTAATATTTTGTATTGTTACTTATATTTTAGTTACATCAAGCTATATGGTAGGAAGTTTTCAAAAGAGGATCATATAAACTTCATCAAGCTTTTTTATGAACTGATAACAACACCAGAACTGGATGCGCAGTTCATCATTGGATATGGTCATGTACTCATACTACTCTTAAAGTAAGTTCAAATAGAACCAGGATGGGATCCCTGTGGGTGGATTTAGGCAGTCTAAATGGTGGGATCCCTGTGGTTGGAATGAGAAGTTAAAAGGTGGGATTCCTGTTGTTGTAATAAGGCAGTGCAATGGTGGGATGCCTGTGGTTAGAATAAGAAGTAAAAGTTTGGGATCCCTGTGGTTGGAATAAGGCAATACAATGGTGGGATGCCTGTGGAATGTCTGTGGTTAGAATTAGAAGTAAAATGTTGGGATTCCTGTGGTTGGAATAAGGCAGTGCAATCGTGGAATGTCTGGAATGTCTGTGGTTAGAATAAGAAGTAAAATGTTGGGATCCATGTGGTTGAAATAAGGAAGTGCATTGGTGGGATGCCTGTGCATGGTCAGAATGAGAAGTTAAATGGTGGAATCCCTGTGATTGGAATAAAACAGGGCAATGGTGGGATCCCTGTGGTTGAGAAAAAGGCAGTGCAATGGTGGGGTGCCTGTGGTTGGAATGAAAAGTTAACTTGTGGGATCCCTGAGATTGGAATAAAATGATAATCTTGATTTTTACCACACTGTAAGTCTGAATGTATGTGTGACAAATTGGGACAGGAGAAAGGAGATGGTTCACGCGCTTTGGATTATGTCATATCTGTCACCCATGGATGTGAGGCATATTCTGGTATTTCATTATTTACATGTGGCTTTTGATAATTTTCTTATTATCCTAGGAAGCGAAAGTTGATTTCAAGGGAGGAACTCACCCTTCCCTGGAAGCCACTGTATGCTAATGTGGAGTTTCTGCATTACTCAAAATATGAATCTGTTGGGCTCAAGAAACACTCCAGGTAATAGCAGTTTAATGAGAAAAAGAAATACTTGTGATATTGCAAAGTGTTTCTTTAAAAACAATTTGTCTATTAAGGCTATATTCTTTATGCTGTGCATAAAGCACTTAGTATCCAATATCATACCTCTCTGTGTACATTTATCAGTTATTGACTTCAAAAGAGCCAGCACAAAAGTGTATTTTTACGAATGGGATCTAAGCTAAAAGTATGTCCCAATAGAGATAAGTTGATGGAACCCGAGGTACTCAAAAATAATTGTACTGTATTCTGGTTTCCATAGCATGAAGTACAAAGACTAGGGAATAGTGTTATTCCCTAATGCTGCTTCCCCCTGACCCCATAACCTGCCTGTTACCTGTAACAATTATCTGGGGTACCCATTTACGAAGCTGGGTGTAGAGGAGCACTGTGAGAATTGTACTGTAAAATTAATTCACCTAAAAACACAATGCTAGTATAAAGGTAAGGGCTGGAAATCTTAGTCTTTTGGCAAGCATTTAAGCTATAAGGGGACCCCTGATTTCTCCATTATTTGATTTTGACTAACCTATTGTGTTGCAATTAATTTCAATGTGTATATCTACATGAAGCAAATGCAAGGAGCTCATGAAATCGGTTGTACGTCTAGCAAGAGTGTAAGTAATTTTTTTTAGTTTGATTCATAATAATATATCATCTGTATTGTGTCACGTCCTACTTTAGATATTTTAGCTTTCAGTGGATGGGGATATGCAGGGTTTAAAATAATGGTCAGTCATCAGACAATGTCCAGCCAGAGCCAGAACTTGTCTGGGGAAATTTTGTCTTGCTAGTTGTTTTGACCAGCAATGTTAAGTGACTATTTTGATTTTCATAGAGAGATGAAAACTAGAGAACCTAGAGAAAAACCCTCGTGTGAAACTTTGTATGTGTGGTTTAGTTGAGAATCAAACTCTTTAATATCGCGTGGTTGCAATAAAAGGCTAAAGTTTTTGAATAAACTGGAATTTCCCTTTTTTCACTGCATGTGAATTGTGATCCTTCCCTCGATTGCAACAGCTCTTTTTCTCATCTGAAAATGTTTATTCCATAATACAAAAAAAGATGTTTAAAAAATGTATGGTGTGCAATATATAACTGGAAGTGTTTTGATTTGCAGGTACTTTTCAGTGGAATCTACTCAAGAGATGTTGGATGAATGGAAACCATTATTGTGTCCTTATGATGTGGCATTTGGAAAAGCTATATTTTATTTCTCTCTGTTTCTTCCTACAACTTTACCACCAAGTCAGTATGACCAGGGATTCAGGTAAATCCAACCTACAGTACATTAGAAACTTCATTTTCATTAATATATGTTTTATGCAACCTTAAAAAACTCATTAATAATTCACGAAGGAAACACAATAGGACTTTAAAACTACATGTACATGTAAATGGAATCTTGTAATCTTAAATTTTCTGGCAGGCTTTGGTTTGAAGAATTCATGGGGATCTGGATAACATTTCAAGACCCAGGAAGAGCCTGGGAAGAGGTAGGATATAAGTATGCAGTATACCTAGAACCAATCAGAATGCTCAAATATGTGCAAGTTTGCTGATTGGACTGGTTGTGATAATGATGTGAGCGAAGACTTTTTTGTGAAGATTGATGAATTATGGAAAATGGAAAGATAAGAAGGAAGGATAGAAAATAAATGAACGTTGTCATCACCAAAGGCGATAGGCCCATTCCGAGACGGATATGGTTTCATTGAATACAAGCAATATTGAATCAGTCTCAACACTAAGGTCCATGTTCTTGATGAGAATAAGAAGCAGAAACACAAGTCGTTTCATCTATTCTTGGATCTTGGAATGACCTATCTCCTATTACTTTTCGCCTATCGCCTATTGGCAATGACAGCTCGTTTTTTCGGATATATTGATTCTTGATTGTAATTTATTTTTTGAAGGACTTCTTGAAGTTGTTGGCAAGACTATCAAAAGAGAACATAGGACACATAGACTGGAATCCATACATTCCTATGGTATGTACATTGATGATAATTATTCAAATAAATGATTATATTAGATAGTATGTATGTACACTCTGTGCATTAAAAACTGTGCTTTATTAGTTTACAGAGCATGGCTGCTCACACCATGCACAGTAAACTTAGAGAAGTAGTGTAAGAAAACAGGATTGAAACTACAACAGATTTCTTTCTATACAGTATAGCAAATAAAACCACATTTTTCTGTGCACCTTTCAGTAATAAGCTCTTGGGAAACAACCGAGAAGAGTGAGAAGAAGCACAAAAAGTTCAATTTTATAATTGTAGTTAATTTATTTTAATTAACAATCTAACTTGTGTTTTTTTGTATGTAAAGGTATTCACAAGACTCTTGAAGACATTCAGTCTTCCTATTGGTAGTGGAGGTTCTGTGTTCTATCCATGCAGGGATTACATGGTTATCTTGCGCTCTTATATCATATGGATTACATGCTCTCTGGTAAGGCTTAAATAACCTTGACTTTATATTTTGAATTAACTAGCATATAGAACTGTTACACATTTTCCATAAATAGCATTGGGACCAATTTTTTAACAGACAAGTGCACATTTTAGCCATATTGTGTTCATTGACTTGCCATTATTTTCTTTAGCTCTATACTGTATCTTCATTTTTTGAATTCCTCATTTGTTTTATATATGTACATTTGATTCGTACTTAATATCAAAAATGATATTTGATATTTAAGGGAGGAGACAGTATAGCACAGATTCACCTTTCTAAGATGTTTGCATCTCTGGAATCATTCTACCATCCATCTAATATTGGACGATATTCTGTAAGTACATTGTACAGGAACATTGATTAGAGTAGATCAGTACAATACTGTAATTAACAATGTCCAATATTTATTTCTTGCATTCTTTAATCATTTATGATTGTTTATTGCAGGGAAAATTGCAAAAGCTGCTTTTTAAACTGTCTAGTGAGTTTGTCAAACGCTTGCACAGGTTTGTGATGTGTTATTACCTGGAAATAAGTTTAATCACTTTTTTCATTGCTACTCACTGATCAAAACATTCAGTCATGCAGGGCACGAAATGAACTTTTAAACCCACTAGCAAAACCTTGCTAGTAACTTTCAACTTTACTAGCGATCGAACGTGGTTCATAACAGGATTTACTTGATGTGGGTTATGAACTTTTCATTCCTTCAATTTGTGGACTGTGTTCATACTCACAAAACTTAGCTAGTTAAATTTTGTCACTCAATAAATACAAAATTTCACCTGCATTTTCTGAGTTTGCGAGTGTTAATTTTGTGCTCTGTCATGACAAGGAAATCAGACAATACACTGCCGTCAATCAAAGTACAGTATGTAAAGGTACCAAAGAATTTATTTGATTTATGGTAGTCTACTGCCTGGAGTACTTCCCAGTTGAAATACTGTTGTCTTGGGAATCAAGTAGCACTGAAAACAGTGGTAATTTGTGTAAAGTATGCAAACACATTATTGGTGGTTAAATAGTACAGTGTACTTTTGGGCAAACTTTTGTTGTAGGAGAAGAGGGGACAGTTACCCCCCTCGCTACTCTTATGCTGCAGTTGTGTGATTGCAACGACAAATCACACCCATGCTTCATCCAAAAAAGTCATTTCTTAACCATATTCTCTCATATTTTTCAACAGGGAAAAGTTTGACAAGAAGACATGGGTGACCCCAATACCACCAGAGAAAATGCTTACAGATAATGACATCTGCCAGTTTGTAGAGAGTCTGAAGCCGCCAGTTATGTTGGCCATCTTTAACAAGTTTGGAAGCTTTGATGCAGCTAGTTCTTTGCAGAATTTAGCTATGATGAAACCAGATCTTGTGATTCCTACTCTTCTTGATAAGTATGTAACTACATTTACAGTATGATAATGTCAACAATGAAATAAAATGATGGGATCCCTACGCTTATTTTGTAGCTGAGAGGGGTAGCCAGTCCTAGACAATTTGCCACCCATTCGTGGTTAATAGATAATCTTTATATTAAAATATATACTATACTGTATCTTATTAAATATTGCAACAAACCACGATGTTTTAAAAGAAATGTTGACTATCGGAATCAAAACTTAATATTTTTTTAACAGACATATTACTCTACTAAAATATGAAACATTTTCATTGTAGGCTCTACAAAGCACTTGATACCTTGATTGAACCACATCAACTCACAGCCACCTTAAACTGCGTAACATCAGTAGCCAGGGCTCTTGTTAAATCAGATGGGACATATCCAGAAGGGAAGTCACATGTTCTGCCATTGTTACAACTGATCTTACCAGGGATTGATCCAAATGACTTCAGAAAAGCAATGGTGAGTTAGAGCCTATCAAATATGTGAAGGCTAGGTAGCAGTTTCAAATCCTTCATATAGTCTTATGAACATTTCTTACACAATTCTTTGATCAAATACATCACGAAACTTGAATGATTAGTTACTTCCTTACTTCCTAGTCAATCTATATGTCTTTTGATCGAGTGCATTCTTTTCGATCAATGTCTTATCCTGTACATTGTAAAGTCTACAATCCATCTATCATCAAAATCCATTGGGTAGTGTAATGTGAGAACAGTCCTTGTGCCTCATTTTTGCCATCCATGGGATCATAAATTCCTTAACATGTTGAATGTGCATGCATGCAAGCTGTATTGTTTATTGGTTACATATTTCCCATATTTTGAGGGTTTTTGTTTGATGTCACTGGACAGGTTTCATTCATCAACAAAAATTGATTATGATTACTGTAAACAGGGACTTAGCAAGGGTCACAGCCATAAAAGTTTGACTTTTTTCCTTCCTTCCATTTTGTCAGGCTAACATCGGATTTGGCAGAAATATTTGCACCAAAACTCTACTCTCACTATGCCACTGGACATGTACATTATGTTAGTTAGTCTTCAGTTTGACTGTCATTGGTGAGAAGGATTATCAGAGGCAGCAATAAGACTTGTACTCAAACGCAAAATAGAAATTTTTAAAAAATCTGTCAACTTGCTAACCCTATCTTTTTTCTTCTTACCAGGCTACATTTACATTTATTTCTACAATCATCTGTCTTGTACCAGTTGTAGACTGCTCTGGAGCTGTTGGCGTGGTGGAAATGACAGAGGTACAGTACTGTTAACCACTATCAAAGTTATTTAATACATTGATTGCATTTCAGGGGGAATCCTAGACATCTTTCAGAATTGAGAGGGGCTTTTTAGAACTTTATGATAACATTGATAATAATAATAATAATAATAATTACTCTTTATTGGTTTGCAAACAAAGTAGAATTTTTTTCCAGTCTGGCCCATATTCCTAGTTCAATCATGTAACATCCTGTTCTTGGGCCTTTCTCTTTTATCTCTCCATTATTTGACCAAACCACCTGATACACTTGACAATGTACACAAAAGAAAACTAACAAGAAAAGTACTTTGAGCTGTATTGGTGTAAGAAGCTGATATGTTGGTGATTTTGAATTATTACTGGAATGTGTTAAATTTAGTACATTGGTTTGCTGGTTTGCTTTCAGGATGAGAAGGAGCTGTGCTTAGCAACTGGACAGTTTGAAGATTTTGTAGTACAGTTTATGGATAGGTAAAGTATTAATTCACTTCTAGGATCATTTTCTTGTAACTTTCTGGTCATTGTGTTTTTTTCCCCTGATTTGATTAGCCAAATGAATATATAACGCCTGCAGTCCGGTATCCTTTGCTGCTAAATAAAAAAACAAAACGATTACAAAAACAAGTAAAAAAGAAATACAGGAAAAAAATAAATAAGTCATTTACCGTCCTATAGTCGGTCCAGAGAAGGAAAACTGTGCCCTTGGTCTTGAAAGCAGACCGCGGTTTAACAGCCTCGGTCCTTATATTCAAGACCTCAGGCAAAGTTTTTCCCTAAATGGACCTCCTGGCTGCTAAATGACATATATATATCAAACATGATTTATTGACAAACCTTATGTTAAGAGTCTTTTGTATTTTCTTTAGATGTTTTACATTGATTGAAAGTTCCTCTTTTGAGAATGTGTCAGAGTTGGACAGTTCGTTGTTTCGATCTGATCAGCGGCACAGCCAAGAGGGTATCCTAGGCATGGGAGTGGCATCTACCTTCCACACAATACTCATGCAAAGCTCCCCTCAAATCTTTAAGGTAAATCACTGTTCTATCAATAGATTTTACCGTCTTATTGCCATTGACTTTCTTAAATGATTGCACTTTTGTCTCTAGTAAGAGTTTGATTGACGGCAGTGAAAAACCAAATTTCAGTGTGCAGCTTGCAGAGTTTTCTTATGAAAATTGCAGTAACACTTCCCCTAAACATTGCTGTCACAAAACCACTCTATCTACGATCAGAAATGGTACATTTGCATGCATGGTCAAGGGCGGATCCAGCCAAAATTTTAGGGGGGGCTAATTGAGTTTCTTCCGTCAACATGATGGAAAACAATATAAAATAGGAACATTTTTTTCTGCTGAAGGGGGGGGGGGCTTCAGTCCCCCTTTTCCCCCCCCCCCCCCCGCTGGATCCGCCCTTGATGGTCTCAGTAATTATTTTCCAAAACAAATTTGTTTCACTCATTTATGTTCATTTTTCAGATTGCTCTTGACAAGCTTTTTAATTTCTGCACCAACAATGTTCTGGAAATGAAAATTGCTGGAAAGATTGCAGCAGACATGTGCAGAGCTGCTGCTAAGGTAAGTGTTGATAAATACACTAAAAATATGAATAATTAACATATATTAAGAGGATATTTTTTTCAATAATGAGCAATAATTGCAAAAAGTGCCAAAATCTAGACTTTCGTATGAGTTTTGATCCTAATTTTCGTTTTGGGTTAACACTCAAAACCTTTTTAAAACAGTTAGAAACTGATGTATTATGATGAAATGCCTGTTTGAAGCGGTATTTTCAATTGTACAAATATGTTTTGTTGCATTTGTGTTAGAATGTTGCTTTGTCAGGCTTTTTTTATAGAAAATATATGGGAAATAAGCAAATGAAGGCCTAAACCTCATTTTCGAATAAAATTGTTGCTTTGGGTTAACACTTTGATTCCACTTTCATCGGTCATTTCCACTTCCAAACAAGTTAATCTTTCTGAATAACAAGATTTTAGCCTTGTACAATAGCCTTTCCTCAAGAAAATAGTTTTTGGTGCTCACTGCTTGAATATGAAAAGAATTCTCTCTTACTGCATGTGTTGGTACTATAACTTTTACTTGTGACATGGTCATGCTGTTCGACAGTGTAACTCTCCACTGCAGAAACACACAGCTCAACCTTTTATTGACTTTTGATATAAAGTGCACTTTTTTAAGTGAAAAAATGATGTGCAAAGCTGTTACTTTTCAATTCATCATCAGACAAATACAGAGTTAACCTTGAAGAAGTTCCTTCCTCACTGCTGCTTTACGATTGAGGGGATTATTTCAGGTAAGAATGAAAGAAAAAATAAATACTACATGTACTCCTCTTACTAAAGTTATTCTTTAATGTAAGTAAATTGGAATGCCTGAAGATTAAATAATAAAATACTAAGTCGACACCAAGGAAGTGCTCGACAAAAATTACATCCACGTATGGAAATAAACCTTAAGAACGAAATTTCCCTTTTGGCAAACCAAGATTACTGTTTTCTTTTGTTGTTTTAATCTTAAAAGATGTGTCCTAACAATAACAATAAGAAATAAGATGTTAACAATAAGAAAGCTGTATAGATGGTTTTTGGCAGCCATATCCCCCATAACATCCTAGTTTCCCACATTGAGTTTTAAGAAGTTGTAAGGGTTTGTTTTATCCTCTCTATCTGTTGTCATTGTTTATAGCTGAAGACTTAAAACACCAAGAAGAAACAGATAACCAGTTATTGTGGAATCTCCAGATCTTAACAGAGGTAAAAATGCTTGATAAAGTGCAACAACACGGTCAAAAATGACCATTACTGTAATTATATTTATACAAATCATCTCTTCTTTTTTTCTGCAGATTGTTCGCTCCAATGGATCAAAGATACTTGCCTACAAGAAGGAGATTATCAAGACACTCAAATCAACCATACACTTGAAGAACAAAGAAGCCGCGACTCTTGCTGCCAAGGTAATCAGGGAACAATGTCTACCTACCTTTAAATGAATCACGTTCATGTACTTCTCGATCTGGTACTTTAAAATGATTCTAATTTCTCTGTTGTATTTCTTTAGCTTGACTTAAAGTTTCAACAAAATCAGACCCAGCTTATACTTTACTGAGAGCATGCTAAAAGCACACGCTTTATCCCTCTCCCTCCAACCGACCTACTCCATGTTTAAAGAGGTTGACCTGTTAAAGAATAGTCGGGGAAAAAATATGCAAGAACAAACTACAATTACACCAAAAAAAATTTTTTTTCGTTTTGTATATCTCATGCCTTGCAAAGACCAATACAAAATCTGAGCACTGATAAACCCCAAAATAAACAGAAAAGTTTGTAACTGTGTTTCTTAATTTCATCTTCAGCTTCTAGAGAATCTGCTTCGGCCTTTGTCACACATCTATCCACTTGAATGGAGGAGTGTTTTGAAAGACTTTAGTAAACCTCCAACTGAGCATCTGTTTATCAGGGTAAGATATGGGCAGCAGTGATCTGTAAAAAAGAGTGTAAATCTATTAGCAAGCAAACAAAGGCTTTGTGAAACCAAACTGACTAATGTTATCATGCTTCCTCTTTACACAGGATTGGGGTAAATCTGGTGATGTTGACAACCTTGACATCCAATGGCATATCCCCTCTAAAGAGGAAAAGCTTTTCGCCAAAGAACTCTTCGATACCTTCCTACAGACAGAGATGGCTCGAGTAGAAAAATACATCGATGGATCTGAACCTCTTACAAGGTAAGTCTGTGCAATATCTTTTTCGAGCAGAATTCAGCTGTAAGCAAGGTTTCCTAAAAATTTAAGGAGGAATCAAAGCGTTTTGAGTGGAAGAGTACTGGTCATAGGGCATTCAATGCCATTATCCACTGTCTTTATAGCTGTGTAGTTCATGTCTGGGGTTGCGGGTTTGATTCTTGACTCAGCTGGCATATTTTATGCTAGTTGATTTCTTTCTTGCATGGGGATGTTGTTCGTTGCAAACACTGAATGTAGTTGTAGTTGAAGGGCATGCGAACTATACTGAAGAGCGCCGAACGGGGATTGATGATTGTTATATATAAACACGACTCGTCTTTTGAAAACAAAAATTGCTATTCCATGAAATTGCTTGCCTTTAAAGATGGCACCAAAATTAGCATTGTTTTATTAAGTCATATGTAAATGCTTTTTTTCCTAGGGAGGAGCTTCAACAGAGTCTCCGCGTCATCCAGTGTAGTCTCTTTGGAGGTGCCTTGTTGTTACCAGCGTGGGAAAAACCATCGTTGCCAAACATGTAAGTTCATTTGATTTGCAATTTCACATCATATTTATGCCGAAGCCTCTCTTTAAAAAAACGCATGTTATCATACTCACCACTCGAGGGGACTTGTCAAGTGGCCACTATATATAGGTTAAACACTTAATAGAGGTACATGTATAAATGAGAAGTGGCCGTTGTATAGAGGTTGGCCGCTTACCGCCATTTGTATTGCTACGCGGCCACTCCAGACAAAAATCGCGACCTGCACTTTGCAATAGACTGCCGTCAATCAAACACGTTGACGTCATTTACACGCATTTGGATCGGCCCGGTAGGCCCGGTGAGTGTGGCTCATAATACTTGTAAACAATCGACAAGTTTTGGCGCCTTTTGAATCTCACACGCGTGTAAATGACGTCAACGTATTTGATTGACGGCAGTCTATTGCAAATGCACGTCGCGATTTTTGTCTTGGGTGGCCTCGTAGCAATGCTAACGGCTATAAGGCGAAGTGAATATCGTCCCATAATCACTGACTCTACCAATCACAGCATTCGAAACTCTAGTATACTCGAGTCTAAAGTATTACTAATTTTGTTTATCAATCCGATTGTGTTTGTTTCTTAGTGGCATGAAGACTATGGTAAACCGGGGCAGGTTTTTACATACAGTTTCAGTGGGACCAGACGTTTCGATGGGAGAAGAGAACTCACGAGAGAGAGTAGCACAGCTGATGCATAGACTTGTTGGTGAGTCTTGTTTTTAAAATCTCTCTTTACGAAAAAAAAGGATGCCTTATGAAAAGATTTGTCCACGAAAACTTTCTTAGACAAAATGATAGCCTCGAATATGTTGTTACATACCACCAACATGGCCGCGATGACGTAACGTGCAAATTAAGAATGGACTGCTTCGACGATACGTAGGCCATCTTGGATTGCAAGCTATAATGGGGCGTCTAGGGGGCAACTAAAGCTTTGTTACAGCAATGATGTTGATTGATATTAACAGCTCACCAAAGGAGAATAAAAAAAAAAAGATTAATTACGACGGCACATCGATCATCTTCACGCATAAAAGACAAAAAAAAAACAAAAAACAACAACAACAACAAAAAAAAGCAAAAACAAACAAACAAACAAACAAACAAAACAAAAACAAACAAAAAACAACAACACAAAACTCTATGTATTTTCCGTATCTGGCGCCGTATCTTTGAAGTAGTCTATCGGTATCAACGGTGGATTTCTTTCGTTTCCACTCAACTGTTAAGCGATAATTTTTTAACTATGGCATATTTTGCGCTTTTTAGACCGCTTTTCGTTTCTGTAATACCAACAGACGCAGCACTTTCTCTAGTGTTTTGGCCACTGTTCATCACATTCATACCACTCTGACTTTGACTCTGATTAACGAAAGCCAAAAACCCATGCGTTTGTTAAGGAAATCGCAGAAAAAATGCTTTACTGTGGAATCTTTATTATTCTTACAAGTCTTCTTTTTCTTTCAGAGCATCTTCTTTGCCATCGCGAGGATGATACCAAGGCTCTACAGTACACCGTGAAGGTAATTTCTCTTACATGTAGCAACAGTTCCTTGTATTTGCTGAATATGGTGACCTCTTTTGTCTTCAAAGTTGCATGGTGTTACACTGGGCAGTGTTCCTGTTAACTTGTTTCGTAGTTTTATTGCACATTAGGAAACTGTTTAGCAATTTCTTCCAAGGCACATTCCTGTCAAATGTTATTGCGCGACAAAAAAGAAAAAAAAAAAAAAAAAAGAAAAAAGAAAAAACGTGTTATGCCGTTTTACTAAAAGGGTTAGGTCTCGAACATTTTGTCAAAGTCTTTGCAATACATGAGACTTCCGAGCGAATTTGCAAAGAATCCTCGTAGTTTCTCTTGGACACTGCATAGTTCTCTAAAGTAACTATTATTTAACACCTTAACATTTAATAACAGCTTATTTGTAGTTGTAAAAGAGAATGTTTATTACAGTTTTTATCTATGAAGCTAATGTAAATCTTCTTTACTAGATATACGAGTCATTGTTGCTTCATCTGATTGGCCAACGAGACGAGTTTGATGTAAGATGGCGAAGCGCAGGTGCTGTGAAGCGAGCAATGGAAGACAAGGTACTATTTTACATCACAGATCTACTGTATGTTAACCATGACTTTTTTACACACAATTGCATTTCTGTTTATTATCTACTAATAATGTCCATATGAAACAATCAGGGTGGTATCGAAAGTTTGACTCAAAACGTAAATTTTCCTATTTTGTTGGACTCCCTGTGGATTTGACGGAAATTTTCGCGCCAAAACGTGTGTGTTCGCCCCTTCAATTCTGGTACTCTTGCTATACCACTGATATCAATCTTGCTGGTTTGTGTTAACAGTTGTCAGGGAAGAAGAAACACGTGCGAGCGTTGCTTATTGAGCGGGTCCAACTACAACATGAGGTAATCAATGTGGGATTATGTTACCCAGAACTAGAATTTTAGCTTGATTTTCCGCACGTGCGCAATGCTATGGTACAAGCCTAGAATTTGGAATTTCTCTTCCAGTATGGTTTAATAAAGTCAATCATGCGTCTTTATAAATTACGTTTGAATTAAAGAAGGTATTAAGTGTCCAGATCACTGTTGTTGTTCCGTAAGAGGAAGTGAGTGCTTTTGAAAGTTTCATCCATAATTCTAATAGCTTCGCCTTGATTGTAGATGCGTATATTGGACAATGTCTCGTCCCAAATGACCGACCTACATAAGGTGTTATTAGATGATCTGTTCACATTATCTACTAGTGAGTACACAGAGGTATGTATCAATGCTATTGATATGGACTAATCTATGACATTACGCAGTAACTTGATGTGAAACACGAGAGGTACAAAACATGCCGTTTGTACTCTTGCTTCATTCTGATTGGATGAGTAGTAATTTTGTGTGATTTAATTGGATGTTGCCAAATGGTGTATCATTGTCGTGCCATCCTACAAAATGTGTTCCACTGGTCCTTTGCTTCTAGGTATCAACCAACGATGATTCATCATAGATTACAATCTTTGATTTAAAAGTGTTCTTAGTAATTATATGCACTGAATCATTATCGCATTTTGGTGGACGTCAATCAAAATGTTTCCATGACAATGTTGTAGATTGTTAACAGTCTCTCGTTTTCATTCGATTCAAGTTTTTCCCCCAGTCCCCTCCCCCCCC